ACACCGCCCACACCATTTGAGATTCGCCAAGTTGCTCCTGCTGACCTTTGTAAACTTTTCTAAAACACCCATCGGCTGTGATATCCATCCTGCTCGTCTTATTTTTATCGAAAGTATTAACCCCAACTAAAGGAGTCCTCGCCGGTCACCATAAAGTGCCTTCGTATCCTGTATACCCATTTATTGAATCCTACTCCCCCATCATGTTACTTCGAGCTATTTCAAGGCGTTTTGTTTTGTGTAGTCACCCAGGCAGGTCCTTCATCACGATTATCGCACAATACTAGAAGTTGAGTTTGCAGCTGTCCACCTGGAGTAGTTCTGCTCTTTGCATATGAAGCTGGCTTTCTCATGAAAATCGTCAGTACAGCAGGACATTAGGCACGTTGAACTGCTATGAAGCATTGCGAATGAATTCACAGGAAGACGAAATTTTACACTTGACGCACTTTCTGGTGCATTTGTTCTGTGCGCGTCATGTTTCGTACAGTAGCGGTCAAAAGTTTGGAAACTTTTTTATTTTTGATCTAGCGTAGCCGATAGACAATGAAATTGCCCCGAATTCACATATTATATTCAGAATCAAGTGTAGATTACGATGGGCAACATGATTTTTGAAAACTAAAATCGCATTTGAAAAATACAAATGGCGCGTCAAAAGTTTGGAAACTTCCAATTCCAAAGCGAATTCGGCAAAATAGCTCTCAAATCCACATGATAAATTAGTTATTCGATGAGTAGCTTTGAATTTCTATGTTAGCGTCGTTTTTATTGACATGGAGTTGATTATAAAATAATTTTAGGACTTTTAAGTCGAACCCTGCACACTGTGAACTAAATCACATTGTTTGGTGGGATTCTTAACTGGAATGTGGGTTGAGCGACATGCCAGTTCTTCCGTGGGATGTAGAACTCAATTAGACTTTAGATCTTGACTTGGTCGCTTCATAGCAGCTTCTTTTTCTGGTTTAGGAAGGCGGCAGTGAGGAGGTAGACCTGCATTGGCCGGTGTCAGACTCGGGTGCGGGACCTTTGGTGCGTCCGGACTGGCACGCGGCGAATTGCGCGGCGGCATGCGCGGCGATCCGGATGAGACAAGGCTTCTCGTGTTCTGTAGTAGAATTCGAAACGTCAAAGCGCATCAGATTGCGGATAAACCCATCACCCATGCGATTAAGGAACGCTATAAATAGGAGTTTTTACTGCAATGTTTTTCAGTGTCAACTATATATTGCTTTGATCGTGGCGCTCGTGTCTCTAATCGTAAGAGGACATTCAAAACAGCCGATGGTGGTGACACTAGGACTAAGCCCAGGAGGGGGAGGAACGCCTGGAAGAACACAATTTGCTCCCAGAATCCCCTTCCCCTGAGGCTCAGTTCCAAGCACAGTAATTGGCTCACTCACTGCCTCTCCCAACGACATGACGCCCTGATCGCTGTCACAGCTTTATGTCAGCTCCTTCTCATCCCTTCTTACCAAAGTTTCCTGATTATCACCGCTGAAACTTCGCACGTTGGAATGTAATTGAGTCGCAGAACCTTGCGAAATTTATCCGTTTCACATTTTGACGTGGTAAATTCCACTGCAGACGCCCGCGAGATTTGCATCCGGATCGCCGCGCAGCCGCCGCGCGATGCCGCGTGCCATCCCGGACGCACCAAAAGTCCGTCGCCCGTCAGACTCTGCGATTGGAGCGATTTGGTCATCATGGGAGTAATGTGAATCGCGCGATGGGCGCGATCACTCCCGTTGTGGCAGGGAGCGCAGCTCCGCAGTCAACGTATCGATCGAGGGGGGCGCGCCATTGATCGCTCCCTGCCACAACGGGAGTGATCGCGCCCATCGCGCGATTGGAGCGATTGGTCATGATGGGAGTCATGTCAATCGCGCGATCGTCGCGCGAATCGCGCGATGGTCGCGCGATTCACATTTGACCGAATCGCTCCAATCGCAGAGTCTGACATCGGCCGGTCATTTTCCGCAACAGAAAACCCATCTTTTCCGGCTAGTTCTGACTATCGAAGGGAAGCATTGTATTCTACAGACTATACTTGTACTTAGCCCAACCCACATTTCGCTGGATACCTAGAACTGGGGAATCGCCGAATGGTCGGACACATCTTCATCCATGACAATACTTCCACTATTTCTGACTGTTGGAATCTCATACTCAAAATGAGGTTCCCATTTGACAAAACACTTCACAGGGTCCACAACATTATTTCTAGGAAGACAGAAATCTCATTCGTCGCTGAGGACAAAGTTTCACCTCTCGCCTTCGGTCCATGTTAGCCGTTAGTGTGCGGAAGCCAGTTGGGCCATCCTGCTCTTGAAGCCCAACAATGGCTTCTTGTTGGGACATCATCCGTAATATTCACCAGGTCGCGGCCGATGTTGGGCTGCACTTGGACTTTCATATGATTAGGAAAAAACCAGAAAAAGTTGTCTCTTAGTTGGGATGTCGGGGTACGGGACGTGCCAACCACCCTTCGAAGTATTTGAGGAGGCCAATTTTCTTGTGAGGATACTTTTTTGTGAATGATCATTCTTCTTATGCTTACTCGACTCCAATAACGCTAGAAACATTCGATAATATTGCTTCCGTAGAGACTGAACTACTAAGAAACAGTTTCAATTTCGTATTCCGGATTGTAGGGTTTAAAAAAGGACCTCCCATGGAAAAACTGCTTCCTTTGCATATGAATTCATTTTGAAATTACACATTGCTCAATGGTTTAACTAAAATTAACAGAAACAAGTAAACATTGAAGAGTAGGAATCATAATGATAAGGAAAAAAAAGTTTCCAAACTTTTGACGCGCCATTACTTGAAAAAATCTTATTTCTCAAATATGATTATAGATTTTTGGAAATTATTCTTCCCGTCGTATTCTGAACTTGATTTTGTATGAATATCTAAATTTGGGACAATTTCGTTGTGTGTCGGCCGCGCTAGATCAAAAATAAAAAAGTTTCCAAACTTTTGACCGCTACTGTATGTGGCCATGAAGTAGTTATGGCAAAGAACAACATCATAGCAGTGTTCATGCAAATATTGCCTCCAGTGGAAAAGCACTGGCCGCTAGTTTTCTCACCCCGCGACGAGACTTCAAATGGAGGTTTAGTCACATAATTGTCGAAAAAATCGAGACTCATGTATGCTTCTGATGCTCTTGCTCCTGCAATTAGAGCGCCTGACATCACGGAGAACGCAGATTGGTTGTTGCTTTCTCACGCATATCATAAGTCCTCAATAAATGCGCCTGTAACCACTTCATTATATAAACCAGAAGTTTGGTGTGTCGGTTTGTTTGTGTGTGTGTTTGCACGTCTGTCTGTCCGTCCGCAAAATGGTCGACTAGAGGCGAAAGATATCGTGATTGTGATACCACTTTCCTACCAGTATAAGAACAACCATTCAGTAGGATCGAATTCATTTCGGGGTTTGGCTGTAAAGCAAGAGCTAAGGATTAGGCCTGTGGGCAGTCACCGCGCGACGTCGTACACGCGGCTTGCCGCGTGCGGGAAACCGCGCGACAAATTCGAGCGAGGTTTTAGGCATTTACTGCTTCCCGCGCCTGTGTATTCGTCAGTTACTTTCCTTTGTTTCCTTTTACTTTCGTTTTAATTTTTCTCCCAATCCTTCTCGATTTTTTCTTTTCATTAAATTTGACTCAAGCGTTCGCGTTGACACTAGAGCGTTCATACTTACAAGTGTTATGTGAGGTGGTACCGGGACACTGTGGGTGAAATAGGATGATAGAAACTAATAAGGGCTGTCAGGGCGCCTTGAACTCACAAGTCCCCATTCCGTTGAGCAGCTGACATTGACACTTGAGCGTTCATAATTACAAGTGTTATATGGGGTGGTACCTGGACATTGTAGGTGGGCGACAAAAATGATAGCAACTGATAGGGGCTGATAAGGAGTCTTAGAAGGCAGAAGTCGGCAATTCCATTGCGCAGTTCACGTTGGCACTATGGGGCTCTTTTCATAAGTGTTATTAGGGGTGGGTCGTGGACATTCTATCGATATAATCAGCTTGGCTTGAGCAGACTCTTGGCGAATGGTACATTCATTTTATAGCTCATTTAATGACCACCAAAGCTTAGGATTTGCGAACACTGTGAATGAAGGATCAGCATTAGATGCTCACTTATGATAATGTTGCAATTTAATTGTGAGGCTAACACCATAACCCTATTCACCGCTAAATTATCAAAATTCAGGAGAATGGCGAGTGTTTACAGAGCTATACTCGAGATCCGTAAGTTGGGGTAGGCGTGTCACCGGAAGTGACGTGCACTTGATAGTCTATGTGGATAAGCTGCTTCCAACATACATCGCTGGATATCAGCAAAGCATGCTGGCAACAGCTTATCCACGCAACTTCTATCAAGTGCACGTCACTTCCGGTGACACGCCTACCCCAACTTTCGGATATCGACTGTATGTGTGATAAATATACCTGGAGTGCCTGCGGAGTCTTAAGTCGTATATACGCGCGATACCGGGCGGAGCAAAGCTGGTGTGTTTATAATTTAGTGGCCGTAACAGCACAGTCAATTCATCTGAGCCTGAACTTTAGGTCTGCTAGTTATGAAGAGCTTCTTAGTAATTACTTGTAACAAATTTAGTCTTGGAGATGCGCAGGTAGTTTTCGCAGAAGTGTTCTTGTTGTATCATAAGAAACTTGCCACTGCGATACTAGACATCTTCTAACGTTACAACGAACGCGAGATTTGTTCATTGTGTTTTGACATTTAATGGCGTTCTCCTTATGTATAGCGTTTTCAATTCATGGTAATTTTGCATAGATTCTCAATTGACCTGAGATTGGGTGTGGGTTACACGCAATTTTCTTTTTTTTGTTGCAGTGCTTTTCTCATGGAGTAGAAAATTGTATTTTCCCCACACTGCTTTATTCAAAATCTGGTTGTAATTGTTATAAATTGCTCTTGGAAGCAAGGAGAAGTTGTTAGCGGTACATTTTTAAGGATCTCAAGGGTGCTTTGCTGGGCTTACTGACAGTGTCTTTGGAGGGTCGTGGTAACGAGGATGATTCCGTGGTTGATGTCCGACGTGCTCGACTTGCACTACGCACACTCATCAATGCCGTGAATCGCAGTAAAAAGTGACATTTATGATTTTTTTTGCTTTTCCATTCCAATGTTTAGTTTCATAAAATGGTTATTCTTTGAAATGTTCCATTTTTTGCGTTCGATATATTTTTCAGATTCGCTGAAAACGTCACTCCAGAATGTTTACCCTTCTTTCGTGCTTTGGTTAGGATTCCTGAACTTTATACAGAGACCTTTGCCGCCTTAGCTGCATTGGCTAGGCCGATGCGACTCGGTTGGTAGCGATGCTCTTGGCCTGGTATGACCACAATTTGTAATGTTTTAGTGTGCGGACTCTATGATAATTATACAACACTGCTTGGAGAGCTCTTCCTGCTTTGGGAGTCACAAAATGTCACTGATTCAGATAGATCTTGGATCTCGGCTTTGGTTTCCATTCATTTGCAGGAAGTAGGTTTTTGCATTAAGATGTGCAGAACGGAAAAAAGTTCCAAATGCTTTTACATCGCAGAATTGATTTCCAGGACTTTGGTTTTCTTGCCAGTCACTTTGCCGATCTTCCTTGCGATAGTTTTACTGTTCTTCTTCATATTACTGAGGTGCTGATGGACTCTTGTCATGGAGAAGCAGTCACAAAAGTACTTTTTCTTTTGCATTGCCACTTGTATGAACCTCAGGACGTTATTCCGTCGTGTTTGCTAATACTGTTTCTTTTTACGCATTTCATTTCATCTCATTTAGGCCGAATCCCAAATCTAATTTTTAATAAGTTTGCCTTTTTGAAAGGTTTCTGTTATGTCTTCGACGAGCTGAGTAGAAGCTTTATTTGTAGGCATAGACGAGACCAAAAGTGAATGCAACCATACTCGTGAAGGTTTATATAAGCATCATGTTTATGTGGTGATGATCCATCACCACTATCACAGTGTACACAAACTATACTGAAGTTCATTTAATGAGAATGTATGGCGCATTCGGCCTACCCCCAACACCTCCCCCTAAGATTGACGTCCGTGGTACGACTTGGCGTACGGGTCAATCTGGAGGAAATCAGGAGGACGTCGAATGCGGATAGATCGACGATATCCGGAGGTAGGCGACGTCGTTTGTGGTGCGGTAATTGTCGTCGTGTGAGCAGCAGTGGTATCCATTGAAGTCGGCGATGTCGCAGTAAGAGGATCCAGCGAGATTTCCAATGGTACATCCAATGCGGTGGTCAGTTCAGGTACTGCTTCCGGCGGAACACGGGGAAGTAGTTGATTTGTATGGCGTCTCCATACGGCTCCTTGAACAAGCACATCGTAGAGAGCGCGCCCATGGCGGCGCAAAATGTGTCCTGGAGTCCATCTGGGTTGACTGGAGCGGAAGTCTCGTGCATATACTAGATCGTTCGGCTCGAATCTTCTACGTTTGGCTCCGTGTCGGCGGTTGAACTGAGCTTCCATTTGGTAGTTTCCTGTTGCTTCTGTAGGTTCACTAGGCTTCAACAGGTCTAGTGTGTTACGTAGACGTCTTCCGAGGAAATTTTCTGCAGGACTGCGTCCGTTGGGCGAAGCGGCGCAGGGTGTGTTTCGGTAGGTGAACAGGAACGTATGGAGGGCATCGAGGGTCGGACCGTCATTCTTCATCTTCAGAAGGGAGCGCTTGAAGGTATCTACGAATCGTTCGACTTGTCCATTGGATTGGGGATGGAATGGGGTGATCGGACGTGCTCGATTCCTTTGCAGCGGCAGAAATCCTGGAACTCGGCAGACGTGAACTAGTTTCCGTTATCGGAGACAATGACGCGAGGGAATCCGAATTGGGCAAAGAGGCGGTTGAGTTCTCTTAGGGTTGCGGCAGTGGGGATGGCATTGGTATGACTTCGGGCCACTTGGAGAAGGCGTCCGTCGACGATGACGAGGTAGGATATTCCTTCATGTGGGCCGGCAAAGTCAATGTGAATCCGACTCCATGGTGAATCTGGGCGGGGCCACGAACAGAGCGTGTTTTTGATTGGTGACTTGGCGGCTTCTTGACAGTCGGCACAGGTGCGAACCAATTTTTCCAAGTCTTCATTGATCCTTGTCCAGAATACGTAACTGCGAGCTATTGATTTCATCCGGTTAATTCCTGGATGTCCTTCGTGAAGGATTCTTAGAACAGCTGGCTGAAGGGACGGCGGGAATGATGATGCGGCTTCCGAAGAGCAGGCATCCTTCCTGAGTTGACAGATCGTTTCGCAAGTGAGCGTATCGAGCAACAGTTGGTGAAGGTTTCTTTGGCCAGTTGTTGTTGACGACGTGGTCGAGAACTTGTCGTAAGGGTCTCGTCTTCGGTGGTTGCATGGGCAACATCTTTGGCTGTGACCGGTAAGCGGTTAACGTTGTCGTTGAAAATGGCGTTGATGTCGCGGGCGATTTTCGCGATTATGACATCTTCTTCCGGTGGCGATTGAGGCGGCGATGAGACGGGAGAGTGCGTCTGCTTGTCCAAAGCTGCTAGTGTTTCGGTATTCTATGTCGAAATCATAGGCAAGTAGTATAAGTCTCCATCGTTGTAGACGGTTTGCGGAGTATGCAGGGACTCCTTTATTAGATCCGAATATGGCCAAGAGTGGCTTGTGATCTGTGAGGAGAGTGAACCGGCGTCCATAGATATATCGATGAAATTTTCGAACGGCGGTATACGAGCGCAAGGCCTTCTTTTTCTATTTGGCCATAGTTTTTCTCTGCGGTGTTGGTGAGAGAGGGACGCTAGCGTGATAACAGTTGTCGCTCCTGCCATCGGGAAGCGGTGCGGTGGAGGAATACAGCTCAATTTGCTGAGTTCTGACAAGCGTCCGGCTGCGACTATGATGGGTAGCTCTGGATCATAGTGGGTCAGCAGCAGGTCTGAAGAGAGAATTCCTTGGCGCGATCGAAGGCAGCTTCGCATTCAGAGTTCCAATCGAATGGAGCTCCCTTTTTTAGTAGTGCATCGAGCGGTGCACGGAGTTGGCGCATCTTTGGGACGAAGGCTCCATAGTGATTGATGAGTCCGAGGAATGACCGAACCTGAGCGCAATCCTTCGGTCTTGGCATTTGTATAATAGCGTCGATCTTCTTAGGATCGGGTCGGCGTCCAGCTGTTGAGATGACGTTTCCGAGATAGGTGAGTTGGTTCATAACGAAGTGGCATTTGTCGATACGAACGCGGAAACCGTAGGCTGCTATCCTTGAAAATAGCGCTTCCAGATTGGCGTTGTGCTCGGATAGTGTGCGGCCGGTGACTATGACATCGTCAAGGTAGGCAGCAACGCCTTTGAGTCCGGAGATCATGGAGTCGATGTGCTTGTGTTGATGGTGAGGAGTTATTTAGAGCTATCATCGACTTCGACCTGTAGGTATGCGTCGGCGAAGTCAATCTGGGAAAAGACGTCCCTCCATTGAGTTTGGTGAACACATCCTCAGCGGTTGGTAGTGGATGCCTATGTAGGAGCAATGCATCGTTGAGTCCTGTCGAGAAGTCAGCGCAAAGTCGAATGGTTTCCGTTGGCCTTTCTCGTATAACCGATTGCGGTAGCAGCTCCTAGTGGATGTAGCTCGACCGAAAAATGGCGTTCTGTGCCGACAAGACGGTCGATTTCGGCGTCGAGAAGAGGTAGGGAAGAGTAGGGAACTGGTCTTTCTTTATGAAAACTGGGCGAGCGTCGGGCCTGAGGTAGAGGGTTGCCTTGGCCTTCAGGCAGCACCCAAGTCCAGGTTCAAAGACATTCGCGAAGTGATGTTTCAGCTTAGTTATCGTCTGGTCTCGGAGTGCATCGTGGTTTAGCGTCTGAACCTTCTGAACGTTGAATCGTTTCAGAACTGAGTTGAAGTCTGGAATTTGCTCGATCCATGTGATGCCTAGGGAGGTGCGGTTGTCAGTCAGAAACACTAGACAGAACAACCTTTCCGGGGGTCGCTGAACCATTCCTGCCGTGTCAACGAACCACGGAGCGGCTTCAAGATTGACCGGTAGATGCGTAAGCGGGCAAACGCTTCGCGCCGTTCCTTGAAAGACCTCGGATGTCTTCTGTAGGTGTGGACTTCCGAGCTGCATCCAGGTTGGACGAGAGACAATGGTGACGTCAGCGCCAGTGTCCAACTGCAGGCGGGGTGGGATGCCCATTTATGTGGACTTCCAGGTACTTTTGTACGTCTCCAGGACGGCCGATGAGACGCTGGTAATAGGTGCGTGGGGACGATTGTTTGGTGCGACGTCGTGATGTATTGTTCGACTCTTGAGTGGTACTGGGAGGAGGACGGTTTTGTGGACAGTGTTTCTTCCAGTGATTCTGCTGACAGAATTGAACATGGTAGCATTAGCATGTGGCTGTAAAAAGAATCGACAAGTGCTTTCTTTTTCTTTCGATACTGCGACACATTCAGGTCATTGGAAAACTTCGTCTGTCTACTAGAATCAATTTCATCTTTGACGGACTTCCAGGCGAGTGATATTCCTTGGCTAAGTCATCGATGGTGATCTTTTCATCTTCGTCTAATCTGCGGAGAAAACGAACGCGGTAATCAGCCAGTTCCGGTGCTTGGAAGGCGAATACCATTGCGAGACATTCCAAAGTTTCATGTCTAATGTCCTTGAAGTTGGCCTCCGAGGCACGGGCTTTCAAAGAGTTGACGAAGTTGTCTTCATTGGGTGAGAAATTCATCCGAAAACACTCAAAGCGACGGCGAAAGAGACTCTTTTTAGTTCCAAAAAGTGATTTCAGAGCGTTGAGCGTTTCTGTCCAACTCAGCTCACTAGGCTCTTTTGGAAGAATGAAACGAGAAAATCTAGTATGACTCACGGCGTCCAAGGCAGAGATAAGCAATCTACTTTTCCGTCTTCTCTTCCATTCCTTCGCAGTCGATGTCGAATATATCTTTGTCGATTACCATAAGTTGAAGCAGTCGTCCTGATCCGGGTCGTACGAGAATTTGTCGATTCTTCTTGCCATCCGGTCAAAAGCGGACTCTTGCTGAGCTGCTGCCGGCGTAGATATCTTCTGCAGGAGATCGACTAGTAGTTTCTGCTGTGTGGCCATCATCTGCAGCAGATCGTTGACTGGCAACCTTCCTTCCGTCGTTGAACTGGCGGGGTTCTTGAACTCCTGATCGCCATTTGTTATGTCTTCGACGAGCTGAGTAGAAGCTTTATTTGTAGGCATAGACGAGACCAAAAGTGAATGCAACCATACTCGTGAAGGTTTATATAAGCATCATGTTTATGTGGTGATGATCCATCACCACTATCACAGTGTACACAACTATACTGAAGTTCATTTAATGAGAATGTATGGCGCATTCGGCCTACCCCCAACACCTCCCCCCTAAGATTGACGTCCGTGGTACGACTTGGCGTACGGGTCAATCTGGAGGAAATCAGGAGGACGTCGAATGCGGATAGATCGACGATATCCGGAGGTAGGCGACGTCGTTTGTGGTGATCTCGCAGTAATTGTCGTCGTGTGAGCAGCAGTGGTATCCATTGAAGTCGGCGATGTCGCAGTAAGAGGATCCAGCGAGATTTCCAATGGTACATCCAATGCGGTGGTCAGTTCAGGCACTGCTTCCGGCGGAACACGTGGAAGTAGTTGATTTGTATGGCGTCTCCATACGGCTCCTTGAACAAGCACATCGTAGAGAGTGCGTCCATGGCGGCGCAAAATTTGTCC